GCTCCCTAGCACAACACAGTAAGGCACATGATAGACCTGATCTTCAGTTACAGAAGGCACATGAACCGTCCCTGTCTGCAGACTGAAGTCAGTGATAAGAGGGTCCAACATGGATCATCTATCCTAGGGTAGTCCAATACGTGCTAATGGAAAACCCATGGTATCTATCACCACACTGATACCAACATGCCTCCTCTTCCACACTGCCCCTTTGTATTACATGGTTCTCAGATAATCTATGACAGAAGAATAATAAAGAAAGGAGTCTGAAACTCCTTCTTCACTGGAGGTTTTCAAAAGGAGGCTGGATAACCATCTGTCTTGGATGGTTTAGACACAACAAATCCAAGGGGTTAGACTAGATGACCCTTGCAAGTCCTGCTAACCCTATTATTCTATGATTCCATACGCATCTGATTAAAAATTCAAGCAGACTCAGACAGGCTATAGTACAAGGAATCCTACAAGCCTACACCACAGCCACGAGATCTTTCTCCACTGTCTCAGCGGCTATGAAGTCATGCTCCCCAAAACATTTCCAGACTGTGAATTGGTTTGTAAAACCAGAATGCCTCAACTCAGACCCCAGAACTGCACCCTCAGCACTATTCCCTGGGAGGAATTGTTAGCCTCCTTTATAGACAACATCTCCCATACTCAGGATTGTCTCTTGGGATACACATCAATTGCCTCATTCTCAGGATTTCAGCCCTTTAATTCTACAGGAAACACTGAATGATAGTGAAACGTCCACATATGACTCACATCCATGCCTATCTTGTCTGCAGAGGGATAGATGTTATGAGCTTCTTCACCCTGTGCTAACAAAAACTTCAGTTAAGAATGGCAAATTTTCACCCACTCTAGAGCATGCAATAATCGAGAGCAGTAGCTGTTGCTCAGTGTAACTGATGTCACCAATTTACTGCCCTGTTTCTAATTTTCCTCTCCTCCTCTACAGTCCTCACTTATAGAAGACCACAAAGGATTCTTTCTCCTATCTTATTCAACATACACTCTGGCACAGATCAAGTGTTAAAAGTGTGCAGACAACACTCAACTCTACCTATTTGTCACATCAAATGCAGTCCCAGTACTTGAGTAAGCTCAGTGCCTAGATGAAATACAACTAGGTCAGACCAACCAAGAAAGACATGTTGTTAGTGGGATGAGGGAAACACTAGGAAAATCTAGCCAAAACCACTTCACCCTGCTGTGCAGTTATCAAGACACTTTGCAGTATCAGGTTTCTTCTTTTCATAGAATCATAGGGCTAGAAGCAGTGCTTAATTTGTGCCAGGACTTGATTTCTGATTTCTAGACCTTTAATCATTTTTGTTGCTCTTCTCTGGACTTTCTCCAATTTGTCCACATCTTTCCTGAAATGTGGCACCCAGAACTGGACACAATACTCTATCCAGTTGAGGCCTAATCAGAGTAGCGCAGAGTAGAGCAGAAGAATTACTTCTCATATCTTGCTCACAACACTCCTCCTAATAGATCCCGGAATGATGTTTGCTTTTTTTTTTTTTTGCAACAGTGTTCTCTGTTGACTCACATTTAGCTTGTGATAAAACTATGACTACCAGACCCCTTTTTGCAGTTCTCCTTCCTAGGAATCATGTCCCATTTTGTATGTGTGCAACTGATTGGTCCATCCTAAGTGAACTACTTTGCATTTGTCCTTATTGAATTTTATCCTGTTTACTTCAGACCATTTCTCCAGTTTAGACTCTTCTGCAGCTAGCTGGATTCCCAAAATAGCAACAACTCATAGAAACAACTTCTTCAGTCTATGAGTAGCTGGGATCAGGGCCGGATTAACTTTCTGTGGGCCCAGCACCAAACATATTTGTGGAGAATGAAGGGGCCAGGGGCAAGAGCACAGCAGGCAGAGTGGATCCGATTTAAATCATTATTTAAATCACTAGTCAGGAGGACTCGATTTAATCATGGTTTTCTACATAAAAGTGCATTCTTGTTGGTTGTTATAACCTTAATACATATTCTTCACAACTCAGAGACAGATGTAGGTTTCATTTTTGGAAGGTACACACTATACATTTTTAAACAGTGATTTATTTTGAAAACTTTTCCGATGAGTTTTACAGCTATATCAGAAAATGAATGATTGTTTGGTTATTTCATTTACCAAAGATAATTGAAGCAGATATTTATGAAGTCATTGGGAGGTGAACTATCTCCAATTCAACAGGTTAATCATTAATATTTGGAGGATTTTCTTGCCATGCTGTATTAGGAAGAGAACATCACCAGACAGACATTTAAATTGTTTTATTTAACTAAAACAACTATGTTAAGTATTCTGGATTTTTTTCTTCAACAGCAAACATAATATTTTAACAAAAAAGCATATGTCCCTCGCTTCTCACATTTATCTCCAGACTTCTTCTCCTTGTCCAGATCTATTTCGCCCCCAACAGTGTTCTATTCATTGAACTTTTTGAAACTTTTCACTTTTAAAGAGAGGTGAGGGATTGACTCTGTGTACACAAATTTGCAGAGGGACAATAGAGTTGAGGTCTGTTATTTTTCACCTCTATATATTATTTATTTAAAAACATGTTTTCTGTTAACAGGCATCTCTGATGGTATCTTCTAGACCAGAGGTGGGCAAACTACGGTCCACAGGTCACATCCGGCCCATAGGACCATCCTGCCCGGCCCCTGAGCTCCCGGCCCGGGAGGCTAGCCTCCGGCCCCTCCCCCGCTGCTCCCCCTTCCCTGCAGCCAAGCTGCAACACGGGCAGTGCTCTGGGTGGCAGGGTTGTGCCCTTCTACAGGGCAGTGCAACAGCGTGTGTGGCTCTGGCTGGGTGGCGCAGTGGCCAGACATGCTGCTCTGAGCTGCATGGTAAGGGAGCCAGTCCTGGGGGTCAGTCGGGGAAAGGGAGCAGGGATCAGTTGGATGGGGTGGAGGTTCGGGGGGGGGGGGAAGTCGGGACAGGGAACAGGGGTGGTTGGATGGGGCAGAGGTTCTGGGGGGCGAGAACGGGGGGGGTTAGATAGGGGGTGGGGTCCCGGGGGCGTTAGGGGTGGGAGTCCCTGGAGGGGGCGGTCAGGGGACAAGGAGCAGGGTAGGTTGGATGGATCAAGGGTTCTGAGGGGGGGCAGTCAGGGGGCGGGAAGTGGGAGGGGTTGGGGGCAGGGGCCAGGCTGTTTTGGGAGGTACAGCCTTCCCTACCCAGCCCTCCATACAGTTTCGCACCCCGATGTGGCTCGCAGGCCAAAAAGTTTGCCCACCCCTGTTCTAGACTGAGCACCGAGTCCCATTGGGTAGATAGAAAGATTAACCTAAATAATCTATACAGAAGCCTGTGGAACCCCATTAAGATTGGGTCCCTAATCCATGAACTATTAGAACTCATTTACAAAACTTTTCTTAAACATTACATGAATATATTGTCTTACTATAGAATTAGAATTTATAATCCTTATTCCAAGATGAGACATAATGTATCTTAATTAAAACTATCTTTAGAGAGGTTTTTTCCTCAAAAATCTGATTTAAATAAAAAAAATCCAATTTTTAATTTTTTTTTTAGTCATTGATTTTTATCCACCCTGACAGCAGGCCATGGTGCAGGGGGGAAGACTTGGTCCCCAGCTGGAGCGAGGCAAGGGCCAGGGGCAGGAGCACAGTGGGGCATGGGGGGAGGATTAGTCCCTGCTGACTGGAGCAAGGCAGGGGCCGGGGGCAAAAGCATATCGGGGCGGGACCTAGGGTTGGTCCCTGGAGCAAGGGAGGGACTGGGAGTAAACTGCAAGCACAGCAGGGCTGGGGAGAGGGTAAACAGGATCCCCTCCCCACCCCTGCCCACATAGAGCAGGTACCTACCTTCTCCCTGGTTCTAGCCCATTCTCATCATCTCTCTCTGCACTGAACTGAGGGGTGGGGGTGCACTGAGCACAGGGCTGGGGTGCAGGATGTGGGAGGGAGTTTGGGTGTAGGAGCAGGCTGGGGGTGGGATGCAGGGTCTGGCCAGGAGCTAGGGTGAGGGAGGGGGCTCGGGGTTGGGGCAGGAGGTTGGGGTGTGGAGCGCTTACTTGAGACAGCTCCCATTTGGTGCGAGGGGTGCAGGTAGGAATGTGGGGGCAGGTGCAGGAGCTCCCTTTGGTGCTCAGGGTGGGGGTGGGAATGTGTGGGGGGTGCAAGAGTCAGGACATGGGATGTGGAGGGGCTGGGTATGTGGGGGGGTGCAGGAGTCAGGACGGAGGCTGGGGGTGTGTGAGGGGGGTGCAAGAGTCAGGGCATGGGGACTGGGGGGGTGCAGGGGTCAGGGCAGAGGGCTGGGGGTGTGGCTCACGGCAGGATGGAGTATGCCCTGATTCCACCCCTTTCCCCAAGGCCCCGCCTCCGCCTCTTCTCCTCCTCCTCCCCCGAGCGGCGAGCACGCTGCGGCTCCACTCCTCCCCCTCTCTGGCGCCAGCAAACAGCTGTTTGGCAGCAGGGAGAGGGGCAGGAATGTGGCATGCTGTGGGGAGCTTGGCTGCCGGTGGAGCCTGCCCTGCTGAGGGAACCGGCAGGACCAAGCTTTTGCCCGCTGCCCCCACAGGAGAGAGCGGTGGACGGGGGACAGAGAAGAACAGGCTGGGCCGGGGCCCCTTTGGACCATGGGCCCAGCGCCATGGTAAATCCGGTACTGGCTGGGATGTCATGATCCATCCTATTACATACTGATTTACTAAATGATAATTTACTAATTGATTATTCAAGGACACACAAACAAGAGGCATCTATCCTTACTACCCTTTTGTTTGCCACAAACATCAGTAACTACCTACTATCAGTTCATACTATAAACAGCAGCAGTAGGATTCTATTATAACAACTCCAGGGGAGTTTTCTATTAATGTACAGTAATTTGAAATTGAAACGCACAAGCTAGCTCGATTACAATGCAATTCTTCCACCCCACCTCCCAGTCTTCTATCAATTCTCTTCCTGTGTCTTGACTGGCTCTTTTATTCTTTCTAAAGTGTGTGGGTGAAGAGTCTCAGTTATGAGGATAATGACGGTCAAACTTTTCTTCATGTCATGTGTGTTACACAAAGTTACATCAATGCTGGACCTACCAGTCATTGCTAGGACCACCCTTTCCCAAGGGACGACTGACATTCACGCAATGAGGTGAGTCCGCTAATCAATGCTCTACTTATCGTATCTATCAGGAATAGGCTTGCACAGGATAGTTCAGATGTAGATCTTAAATGTATGCCTTGGAACCATCCCTCGTATCCACACATATTTTTAATTTTTTAAAATCACATCACAAATGCAACAGGCCTCCCTGACACAAACATCAATTTAGCAATTGCCCTGATATTTTTTACAACAAAACCAAACCCATTTTCTTGATTGTACAATGTAGAGCCTGATAACTTTGTGATTTCAAGTATCAGGGGATAGGATTACATCCACCCTGATCAAATTAGCCCTGTCAACACTGGTTCTCCACTTGTGAGATAACTCCCTTCTCTTCATGTGTCAGTATATTTATGTCTGCATCTGTAATTTTCACTCCATGCATCTGAAGAAGTGGGGTTTTTACCCACCAAAGCTTATGCTCAAATAAATCTGTTAGTCTTTAAGGTGCCACCGGACTCCTTGTTGTTTTTGTGATTTCAGTTCAGTTCATTAAAACTGAAAGGAAGAACCTAGTAAATTACCAGGCCCAGATGGTGGAAGACCTGAAGCCAAAATTCTATTTTCCTTTTTTGCCGGATAGTTCATTGAAGCCCATCCATTAGACAGGTACTGTTTTATATTTTACTCACTACTACACATTTGTTTTATAGCAGCTATTTGCAACATAAAGGGTTAGAGGGTTATTGGTGCATCATGTGCATGTCAAGTGCCAGGAACAGCCTTGATTCTGGTTAGCTGCCAAATCTTCATTATTTTATTCCATGGCTAGTAATTAAAATATCATCCATGCGTATCTGAAAATACTGTGAATGGCCAAAAACTTGGCAGACATAACTCATGCAGTAGGTGAGGAACTATATTGCTGAAGAATTATCAACAGTGACACAGAAAGATTACAGTTGGGCAGGTTTGTTATAATTTTTCACAGCAGCCCCATTAGAGCGTTTTGACATGAAACTAACATCAGATGTCAGAAACTTAGATGCACTCCACATAACATTCATAGATCCTTTGGTATAATAGCATTGCAGTAGCTTTGATATTTGTCTCCAATATAACAACAGAATGCAAATTAAAATGGAAAAGGGCTGCCTCTGAATTTTTCTCTTTCTTAATTGAAAACTCAGAGGAGGACAAGATGCCCTGGGCGACAGGGAAGGGACAGGTTCTTGATCACTCCTTACTGAACCTTCAAAAATGAGAGTACGCCCCCTACAGTTTAGTAGAGACCAAGCCTCAGCTCCTTAGGGCCATAATTTGACAGTGGATGTGATAGTTGAACTGAGTATCGCCTCTCTTCCTCAATACTGCCCTACTGCAGTGCAAATTTGTTTGGGAGAGGAACAAAGAGGCTCCTTGTGTTCTCTTCATTCCTTATTGCCCCAATACACCACAGAGCAGGATTTTGCTCCAAGACCATTAATTCACACAACATGATCATCAAGAAAGGAAAAATCCTCAACCAAAAATCAAACATCTGCAATTTAGAACTCATTGGAACAACAATAAAACGTACATATCAAAGGTGTCAGAGGCACTTAAAACCAAGGTCGGCTGTCCAAACATTCCTTCTATTTTCACGATACATTAACTCCCTGTTGCATCCTCCCATTCTGATTAGCAGAACTGCAAAACATGCAGCTGCGCGGCCTTGCCTCTCAGGGCTAAGATTGTTCCTAGCTATGTGGTGTTTGGCAGCTAGCAGTGAATGAACATACAAGATGGCTGACTGCAGTATTGTCACAGTCTGGGGTTACACGAAGGAATGTCAAATTCTGGGTTACAATGTGAGTAATCTATATTCATGTAAGTCTATTGATTTCTTTGGAGCCATTTGTCTGCATAAAGAGCATTTTCACGAGTAAGGGTGACCAGATCAGGAAATCAAATCTTTGTGCCAGGGACCCCTCGTTTTAAAAAGTTGTCTGCAAAATACCATGCTCCTCTATTACACTATAGAAATAATAAATATTAATTATAAATCCATTAACAGAAAATGTTATATAATTAACATTTTCTGTCACATTTTTTATAAATTACTTTTTATTTTTCCTGGGGTGGGGGTTGGGAGGGAAGTGGGGAAGTGACCATTTGAAAGTGTTGACTCTCTCCTCCCTGCATTTTCATTCACTTTTAAAAAAATTATTTATTTTACTTTTTTCCACATTTTTCAAGTCGGGAAAAAGTGAGAGAAAAGAAGGGGTTTCCCCCCGTATTCTGTCTTTTTTTTTAAAAAAAAAAATCCCTTTAAGTGCAAAAAAGATAAAAGTTACAAGCTGACAGAGACTACAAATTTCTTCACTACTTTCATACTTTTTGTTTAACAATTGATTTCACCCCAAATTTTTCATTTTGAGATTTTTTTAATTGTCAAATATTTTTTCATAAAATAATTCATTTTTGACAAAATCCCACTTATCTATGATAAAACTTTATCAATGAACAAAATTCAACCAGCACTAGATTAGTTTGTCTGACAGTCTTTGCCATGGCAAATGAATGGATCCCGTTGGTGCAAAGTACAATTCTTTGAGTTAATTTCCCATTCATCCTTTCCTTTTAGGTTTTGGGATCATTTTCAAATAAAAACTGACTGGAAATTATTCTTGACACATTGCAGACAGAATGGACAGTAAATACACCTAAGGCAAGATATTTTATCACAAAGAGCTCCTTTTCTTTTTATTAGTATACCCTGTTAGCATAGTTGAAGCCTTAGCTCATCTTAGCTCCACTTCAGAATGTAACGAGAGTGATCTTTGCTACTGATGAAGGAAAAAATCTGTCATGTTTGTGGCAGTTATGACAAAAATTGAAATGTCTGCAATTTGCCAAGAAAAGTCTTAACACATGGCAAGGCATATTGTCAATCTGAGCATAATTTTTGTAGCACCTTGCTAATGCCAAACTTATAAGGTGGAGAAGAAAAAAAAAAGTGCGACGGCAAAACATATAAAATGTTTTTGTTTCCCTCACAGTAATTTCATGGAGACTGGCAATGCCACACTCAGAATTCCGCATGCAGCATAGCTGGCACTAGGATTTACAAAAATAGCTGCATGAAAAGGAATATTTTCAACTAGTACGCTCTAGCTACTTCATTATATCTAAGCACCGTCAGGTTTATAAAACAGAGCTATGAATTGATTTACACTGACTTCTGAGACACACTGTATTTCTTTCCCCTATCGAATGCAGGACCGAGGCATTTTATTTTGAGGAGACTTGAATATATTTCAGCTAAAGATGTGGGTGAATTCAGTGTTCTTAAAAGGTGCAAGTCTATTTGAACCTTGGGTTGGTGGGCAGAGCCTGTCAAAACAGTGAAAGGCTGTTCCTGAGTTTATGCACAGAACAAGACAGCAGTTGTTCAATTTTTACCACACTAACACATCAATTAGTCCCAGTTTTGATCTGAAGAGACCAACCCTGACCATGGCTCAGTCTCCATGCCCATGCAATCACAGAGTTCTCTGCTGATACTGCCATCAATGGTGCCAGTTAGTGACACTAAAGTGATGATTTCTCAAATATAGATGCCTACCCAGTGGCATTTAGACTTGGACCATCAAGACATTTTATGAATAGTTATATTGAAATCGTATATTGTTTATTCTATATTATGTTCTGTGTCGTATGTAAAAGTTTCACTAGTTTAACTTAAATTAATTTTTATACCAATATAGTCAAACTGGTGTGAATGCCTGTGTGGACACTTATTTCTGTTTTAAGAGTCGCTTATTTCTGTTTAACTTAAACTTGTTCTCAATTGACTTAAACTAAACCAAAAAAAAAAAAAAAGCCACTCAAAGTATCTGCATAAGGGATTGTGTTGGTTTAACTCATATCAGTTTAAATTCACACCTTCAGTAATACTGATGCAACTTTCCCATATAGATAAGGCCAAATAATGGTCTACTATGTCCCAGATAAACTTTGTCTATTTTAGAGACTAACCAATTTATTTGAGCATGAGCTTTCGTGAGCTACAGCTCACTTCATCGGATGCATACCGTGGAAACTGCAGCAGACTTTATATACACACAGAGAATATGAAACAATACCTCCTCCCACCCCACTGTCCTGCTGGTAATAGCTTATCTAAAGTGATCATCAAGTTGGGCCATTTCCAGCACAATGGGGGGGTGGAGGGTGAGAAAACCTGGATTTGTGCTGGAAATGGCCCAACTTGATGATCACTTTAGATAAGCTATTACCAGCAGGACAGTGGGGTGGGAGGAGGTATTGTTTCATATTCTCTGTGTGTATATAAAGTCTGCTGCAGTTTCCACGGTATGCATCCGATGAAGTGAGCTGTAGCTCACGAAAGCTCATGCTCAAATAAATTGGTTAGTCTCTAAGGTGCCACAAGTACTCCTTTTCTTTTTGCGAATACAGATTAACACGGCTGTTACTCTGAAATTTATCTATTTTGTTATGCTTGTCGGAGAACTGGTGAAAAGTGCACATTACAGTACAGATTTGAAATACGCAATGGGTGCTCTATCCTGCAACAGGTTTAAATTCAGCCTTAAATCTGACTTTTTTTACGGGTATGTGGGGATATGAGACCTTTTCATGTTACATTTGGAAGTGTCATGTCTCAAAAACAGTATTTCTGGTAGCGAGGTCACATTGTCAGCCAATTGGCTTTGGTCTTCTCTTTGATATTTCTGTAAAGGACTGCTGTTAGGTACAGTACTTCCAAAAACCACCATATGGGGGAAAATTGGGAGGACAATACACTTCACTTATAAAAAGACTTACAACAATACATTCAGTAGTACATGATATTAATCAAATTGAATTGTTCCAACTCTAGTTGGTACTTTCTTAAAAATGTAAGTGGAAATAAACAAAAAGATCCAATGACATTTACAATTGCCATCTTACTTTGCACAGGGTCTGAACATCTCATGAGCTTGTCATTGTAGCTGGACAGAGTGCTACAATGGTATCAGACAGAGAAAACAGAATGGCAACTATAGGATCACTTCCTGTACAACTTAAGACACAGAGAGGAAAGATGGCCTTATGGCTAAGATACTACATTAGATTTGAGGAGACCTGGGTTGTGTTCCTGGCTCGGCCACAGAATCCTGTGTAAACTTGGACGAGGCACCATCTCTGTTACTTAATTCCCCATCTGTAAAATGAGGATATTAACATTTTCCCTCCTCCCAGGGGTATGAGCATAGGTGCCGACTTCTACTGGCGCTGGTGGGTGCTCAACCCCGCTCTGCCCCCGGCCCTGCCCCGACTCCACCCTCTCCCACCCCATTCCAACCCCTTCCCCAAAGTCCCCATCGCAACTCCGCCCCCTCCCTGCCCCTATTCCGACTCCTTCCCCAAATCCCCGCCCCAGCCCCACCTCTGCCCCGCCTCCTCCCCGAGCACACCACATTCCTGCTCCTCCCCCCTCCCTCCCTGAGCTTGCTGCAGCTGTTTGGTGGTGGCAAGTGTTGGGAGGTAGGCGGAGGAGCGGGGATGCGGCATGCTCAGGGGAGGAGGTGGAGGAGATGAGGTGGCATGGGACGGGGAGCTTGGCTGCCGGTGGGTGCAGAGCACCCACTAATTTTTCCCCATGGGTGCTCCAGTCC